CTTGGCCTCTGGGATCCTTGATGCTGGTGGGAGAAATGTGACCATAAGATTGCTTTCCAAGACAAAGCATGACAAAGTCACCGCTGTTGTTGGTCTTGCTGTTTTTAGCCAATTTTGGTATTGGTATCCTCTCATATATTTTGTGAGCTTGTCATTCTCTCCCACAGCTTTTATTGGACTGAACTATGACCTGAAGGTTCCAATATTTGAATTCTTATCACATGCAAAACCTTCACTTTTTGAGTATCCAAAACCAACGGCTGTTCCTACCACTACATCAGCTGTTAAACTTCCCACTGCCATCCTGTCAACATCAGCAAAGGCTAAAGCTAGGGCTAAGAAAGAGGCAGAAGTAAAGGCAAATGCTGAGAAATCATCTGGGACAGAGTCCTCATCTACTGCTCCCAATACTGGAAAAGGGAAATCATCTGCTGAGAAGGATGTGGAAGCTATGCTGGTAAGATTCATCAAGTTATCCTTAATTTTATGGCTATATCCCTTCAAATATCCCTTCAAATTGTCTAATATTTCTTCTGCATATTTGTGTTGGTTGAGATTAGGTCAGGTAATGATCAACCAAAAATATTGTATTTACTTACCTTCTGTCATTGATTCTTTCTATCGGACAGGTTGATAGCCCTCCAGAGAAGAAACCAGAGCCTGAGCCATCATTTGAGATTTTGACCAACCCAGCAAGAGTGGTTCCTGCTCAGGAGAAGTTCATCAAGTTTTTAGAAGATAGCCGATACGTGCCTGTTAAGTTGGCACCATCTGGGTTTGTTCTTCTTAGAGACATGCGACCTAATGAACCAGAGGTGCTCTCTCTAACAGATGCACCTGCATCCACAGCATCTTCAGTCGGTGGATCAGCAGCAGGACAACAAAGTTCTTCATCAGCTATGGCCGTTGATGATGAACCTCAGCCCCCTCAGCCTTTCGAGTACACATCCTGATTTTACCTGTTCTGGAAATGAACATCCCCAACGATACTTTTAGACACGAGCAGTGTTTTGTTCGATTAAATCTCTCTGACCTAAAGTGAAAAACTAGGAGAATATTTGCTCCATTCCCCACCTCAACTTAGGAATTTCCTAATAATTAGTTACATTCTTATCTCCCATGAGATCTTAGTACAAGTGTTCTCTTGAATTCCCTTTCGGGGGCATGAGTTTGCATGCATGAGTTTGCATTTTAGTTGATGCTATTCCCATTTTTCTCTTTTATTCTGTGTTTGTATTCCTTTTGAAAAGGGTAACATGTATGTTCAACCATTACTTTCTTTTTAAGGGAAATTTCTTTCTCAGATTAATTTTTTTTGGACGTTCATAATGTTCGTTACTATTGTTTTCTCTTTTGATATACTAATTCCTTCAACCAAAAAAAAATTTTTTTTATATAAAAATTGTGCCAAATTCTCCTTCCCAACTTTAATTAAAAAAAACAAAAGTCTTTAGTCGCTTTTTAAAGGTTAGTTAACATGTTATTTATTGTAATAATTTTGTATTAAATGTAATTGACAATTTCATTCATGATTTTCAATGCATTAGATGAAAATATTATTTTATATAGTAACTTAAATTAGTGCCTTACTCTTTAAGATATTCGTCAGCAAAATCCTTAAAAAAATAATAAACTTAGAAAAAAAGCGAGTTGTGATGTTAAAATCTATCCTATGCTGGCTGCAAGTGAATCTGGGTTCAGCGCCGCAGGTACCGCGAGCTCGGTTCAACAAATGTTCAGTTTCATTCATGCAAACAGCAGCATGTAATGTAATGAAATAGCTAGCTAGGTTGAAAGGGAACGAGTTGTGTCCATCCAAATTTCAAAGATACTCTCAGTTAGGTATGTCATAATTTATATTGATATAAAAATATAAAATATAAAATTTATTAAATTTATTTATAATTTTTTTAAAATTTAAAATTGTGTTATTTTTATAATTTTTTTATATAATTTTTATATTATATTATCATATCGTAATTTAAATTATCGTATTTATTTTTAAATAATTTGTCATTAAATTTATTTTATTTATCATAAAAATATATAATAATTATCATTACATGTGTCACATGATCTTTTTAATCTAAAACTCGTATATTACGATAATTAAATTTAAGTTTTCTATACGTAACACATGCACATATGCATTTTTTTTTTAGTAAACTTTCTACATGCCATTTTGATATTTGCTCTTGAAAGAGTAAATTTAACTTCTCTAATTAGTAAGTGTTTTTATTTGAAGATTGCATTTTACTTCTTTTTCTTTCACCTATTATTTCATTTCACCTTCGTATTCTAAACCACAAATTTGTAATTGGCTTTCATTATTAGACGTGAAATTTAGGCTTTGGTCTAATTTCATTTTACCATTATATTGAATTTCAAATATATATTTCATCATTAATTTTTATTTTTATTGTTATAATATTCAATTTTGTTATCATTATTATTTTTAATTTAATCATAATCAATTTTACTATTTATCCTTACTAAAAAAACTTTGAGATATTATTTTTTATTAATCATTAAAAATATTGATGACCCTTTTGATTTTGATGAACCCATGTGATGTATATCTCTCTCTCAATCAGTTGTTTCATACTAATTTTGAAGCCAAGGAAAAGATGTTATGGAAGAGGAAAGAAGAGACAAAATGGAGACAGGCTCTTTAGAGATTCCTGCTTGAAGTTGAAATGATTGGCAATTGAATTGTATCCATATGATTAAGAGGTTGGGAGGTAGTGGGTTGACTTGTCGGATATCAAGATTTGTTAGATTATTATTGGCTACACTGATCAGATATTGCCATCCCATTTTGGGTCCCCTGGCCCTGCCCTTTTGTCAATTTTGGTTTTGGAAACGGTTCAATTCACCTATTCTACCCACATTTATCATCTAATAAAATATTTTAAAATAATATGATTTATTTCATGTATTTTTAATTTTATATTTAAGTTTTATTATATTTTGATTAAAATTTTAATTAATTTGATTAATTTAATTTTTGAATCAAATTAATAAAAAAATAAGATTTTTCTAACATCATTTTTCAATAACTGACAAAAATTAATTCGTTGACTAATTGATTAATCGAATTAAATCAGTTCAATTGGTTAATTTGAGTAAAATTAAATTTTGAACACCTAATGCCAATAGGTAGTAATTGGGGCAAGTAAAATATTCTTTATTTCTATCACCGAATTTTAATATTATATTTATCATCGTACTTATACTCGAGATATTTTAAATTCATTACTATCCTTACTATCTTTGTGGAGATCTAATATATATGGATAATCTTATTACACATAACTTTAAAAAATACGAAAACAAAATTTATTTTATTTTTATTTTGGATATTTATGTAATTTTTTATAAATATATTTTTAAAATAAATATATATTAAGCCTAATTAATTTAAAATAAAATTTTATATTATTAAATAAAAATTATTTATTAAATATATATAAATATATAAATATGAATATGGATATAAGACGTATGCTATATTATATATTCTTATTTCCATGTTTAAAAAAATTAAAATATATTCATTCTCATCTCTATTTTAAAATTAATATTTATTTTCATTCTCATATGAATAAAATTAACATTTTTAACGGACCAAAGAAAAATCAGATTAATATATACGGGGATGTGGACTTGCGGTGGCGTAACCTAATCTATAGGACCATGCCTGGGGCTGTTAGGATCATGGATGGTGGGAGAGAAATGGGTAGATAGAAACGGTTGGGTTGAAAAATTAGTAAGAGAATGGATTTAACACATACTTGGTAATGGTAGGAGAGAAAAATTAATGATAGGTGAAATAACCCTTTTTTCCACTTCCTACATCAATCTTAAGTTTCCTGTCTAATTTTTTGAAGGGTAAGTAATAATTAAAATCATTTACAATATTAAATTAAACTCGAAATTTCATTCAATTAATAAAATTTTGCGTTAACTAAGAAAAAAATTTAATTTAATTAATTCATAAAATTACTTTTAATATTGATATATTTAGTATGTAAAAAAAATCATTAAAAATATTAAAATTTGAATCATAAAACTATTAAATATTAATTTTTAAAGATAATTATATAAATCAATTGAATTAAATATTTAAGTCTCGAATTCATCACATAAATTTTTTTCGTAAATTTTTCTTTGGCACCACCAACTACCAAGCAAATGTGCATGAGAAAAAAAAAAAACATTTTCTTTTTCATTCATTTAAAAACTTTTGCATGCTTTGGTGAAAATTTTTTCTTTTTCCCTCCCACTTGACAAATGACAGTCAGTGTTGGCCACATAATATTTGTCGTAGGCTTAATCATGGTTAATAAATGTAATTAAAAAATTTTCTGTAACTGCAAATTAAAGGCTAAACCAAGGGCCATGAATTTCACATAATCAAATCAAGATATGATGTCTTAAACGGTGGAAGTAAACATAAACTCATCCAAAAAATGAAAAAGAAAACAAGAAAATATAAGGAAAAACGAAATTAAGGGAATTGATCAATGGAGGAGACCAACCAAGAAGCTTTAATAGTCAAGGAAGTTAAAACATTCACTTTGACTTACATGAATGGCAAAGAGATCCATTTTACAATATTTTCTTTATCTCATTACACAAGTTTCGCTTGGTATAATCTGTTAGTAAAATATTATATTTTTAATTTCAATGATTAAAATTTAAATTCTGACATTTTTATATAAAAAAATCTGTTATTTATCCAAACTAAGCTCCATGTTTTTATAAATTTTCCTTAATAGTTAGATAAATTTTTGCAGCATTTATTTCTATTTTGAGTCCTTGATGTTTTACATGGATAAAATGCTTTAATGGTGCCAAAGGCGCCCAAACAACAAAAGAAAGAATTTTTTTTTTTTCTGATTGATGTTAATTATGTGCAATATAGTTTCCATAAACAGACCATTGACTTTCAAGTTTCCCTCCAAAACCCTTCGACAGTTTTTTTTCCTTTAAAAACTTTCAGATTACAATGGAAAAAAACCCAACATTGTGCCCTTCTTCTCCATTCAACTTCTTCAATTTTTCATGCTTGTTTACATTAATCCTGATGAGTGCATTCCCAATTCACAGCTTTTACTGTCTGTTCATTGCTCTCTTACTCAGTTTTCAACAAGGATCAGCAGGTGGAGGATGCAAAACATTGGTGGTTGAACAATCAGGGCATGGCAACTTTTCCACCATTCAATCAGCTATAGACTTCATTCCATCCAATAATGACAACTGGTTTTGTATCCATATCAAAGCTGGTACATACAGGTAAATGCATATGAAACATAAATTTGAAGCATTTCAACATAGTTTTGCATGTAATTTCAGTGTATATATATGTAGGGAGAAGGTGAAGATTCCATATGATAAGCCATTTATAATTCTCAAAGGAGCTGGAAAGAAAGAAACTTTGGTTGTTTGGGATGATCACCAATCACTTCTACAAACCCCTACTTTCTCATCTTTAGCTGATAATATTGTTGTCAAATGCATGAGTTTTGTGGTAAGAAATACTTTTGAATTTTTTTTTTTTATTAATACTATGAAATATTAATCTTTTTCTAAAGTTTAATTTTCCTTGTATGAATATGAATAGAATTCATACAACAGTCCAAATAGCCAAAATCCAAGGGAACAGGCGGTTGCTGCAATGATCGGCGGCGACAAGTCTTTCTTCTATAAATGTGGGTTCTCAAGTGTGCAAGATACTTTGTGGGATGATCAAGGCCGCCATTACTTCAAAGATTGCACCATTGAAGGTGCTGTTGATTTCATCTTTGGCAATGGCCAATCTATCTATGAGGTACTACAAGTAATTAATTACAATGATTATTATGATGCAACAAAAATGAAATTATTGTTTATCTATTTTCTTGGTACAAAGGGAGTTGCATTGCTTAAATTTGAATCTTACACCTACTGGATATCACCTCTAAACGTTAGCTTTATGAACCAATTGTTAATTTCTTTTATGATATACTGTTTGTAGGATTGTGCTATACATTTTCTTGGAGAAGAGTTAGAGGCAGGTCTTGCAGGTTTTATCACAGCACAAGGAAGAACCAATCCATTTGATGCAAACGGATTTGTGTTCAAGAATTGCAATGTGTTTGGCAGTGGCACAACTTTCTTGGGCAGGCCATGGAGAGGTTATTCCAGGGTGTTGTTCTATAATTGCAAATTTTCAGACATTATTCAGCCTAGTGGTTGGCAGGCTTGGAATTTCGTTGGCCATGAGTAAGTTAATTTGTTTTTACATTATAATCAATCAGAAAAGTCATATAATGGATTGATTTTTGTTTACGAATGAGATCATTGCCTAAAAACAAGCGAAGGCGTTACATATATTAAGATTTAAACTTGAATGACATCTTTTAAAAGTGGTTATGCCAATGAGCTGACTTAAGCTTCGGATTTTTTAAAGGTTTGATTTTAATGGGTTTTAATTTGAATAGGAGCGACTTAACTTTTGCTGAGTATGGAAATCATGGACCTGGATCTGATACATCCAGGAGGGTGAGCTGGGAAAAGAAGCTGGACGTTGAAACCGTGGAGCAATTGAGTAGCATGTCATTCATTGACACTGAAGGGTGGCTTCAAAGCCTGCCTGTTTAGATATGTTAGGTTTTATCTGTTGAACAACAATTTCTGTTTGTCTCATGACAACTGTTGTTTTCCTTTGTCATATGATACTCTTTTGTTTCTTTACTCCAAAAATTTCTTTTTCACCTTATCAAAGTAAAAACCCAAAACTAGAATTTTTTTTCCATTTTTCCCAATTGATTTGCCATATTATTATGTGGGTTATTTTATCGGTGATAGATATGTTATGCTTACGATTCGAAATTCATATCACATGATAAATTTGTTACATCAACACATAATGTTCATACTATATGATAGATACAATAATTAAAAAAAAATCATCGGTTAAATTAAAAATATTATGAACACATTTTTAAACATATAAATATAACAAAAAATTTTATTTATTATCAATTAATTTTAAATTAAATATCCATCTTAAATATAAGAAAGAATCATAAACAACACTATAAATTTTATTAATATTTTCTTTTACCAAGAACCACATCGATCTCCCAATCATGAATTTGGAAATGCCTCAGCAGTGCCAGACAGGTTCCTTTGATGTAAATTTCTTTTGATAAATACAAACTTTGGCCCATAATATAGCTAATTGGGTCTGAAGGACTGAAGATATTGTGGATTGGGCTCACTTGTCGAAGAACCTAAGCTTTTGTAAACTTCTTAGAATTTTATTAATATTTTCTTTTAAAAGATTCCTTGAATTTTTTATGTAAAAGATATCATAATTTAAGAATAAAAATGTAAAAATTTAAATTTAAATCTCAAATTTATTGAATTTAATATTTTAAGGATGATTACATGAGCTACTTAAATAATTCTAATTGAGTTTGAATTACATTTTGGATGAAGTCATCAAGGAATGTGATTGAAACCATGGCATATGTCATTGCCATTTTTTGTTTTAATGTATGGGAGATGAAATAGGATATAAACAATATAAAAGCCAATTTGCTATACCAACAAAGGAATGAAAAAAAAAAAAAGAAAAAGAAATGCAAGCCCATAAACTCTTTATGAATTGGTTTTCCTAGCTACCAAGACAAATTTCCCTTGGTTTATTTGGAAATTCATTGAGAAAAATGTATGATACTTGAGTACTATTCAATCATAATGAAATACCAATGAATTTTTTTTCTTTTTTTTTTATAATAATGGATTTTTACCTCAAGGAACTACTATTGAAATACCTGAATATTTTCCATACACATGATCAGTAAAAATTCTTAAATTTCATTAATGAAATTAAAATATTAAAATATATTTTATTATTTATTATATTAATTTTTAAATATACTCTAATAAAGTGTAACCATCTTTTAAAATTTAAGATTTTCATTATTAGTTTATAAAAGATTTTTTTTTAAAATTAAAATACTGCTTATATAAGAAGAAAGTTGCTTCTATCAAATTACAGCAAGTTGTTTATTTTTTAATACATTATTATATTGAACACAATACCTTTTTCTTTAAACATTACAGGAAAACATAAAAAGACTAACATGAGCAAAATTCAACTCACACAAGATACCATCAGACAGATATTTCCAAGAATTCATCTATTTTATACAATTTTTTGAGGGTTGGGTAGGGCTATAAATTGTAGAAATTTCTTGAATGGGATATATGATCAAGAAGGATAATTTAAAAAGTCTGGGTATTATTTATGAAACAAAAAACTATAAAAAATGGTGTATGGATTAGACTTGTTTAAGGGTCAAGCTGTCCATCTGAATCTTAAAGTTTTGCTCAAAATTTTAAAAGATTTAAATATGAATATTAAGCCTATTAAAAGGGTTTAGACAAATAAATGAAATTTGATTAAAAAAAAAAATCGGACTTGGATTTCACAGGTTCAAGGTTTTAAAATTAAAAAAATATTTTTATTATAATGAAATAAGATTCATTTATTTTATTTTTTTATAATAGATAAGGCATATTTGCTTTATTATTTATAACAAAATAAAACCCTTTATTACTTATAATAGGATAAAATTCTTTTTTATGCAAAATATTAAAATAATGATCCAATTTTAAACTGTATGAACAAAATTAAATTGAATTTAAATCCAAATAACTTATAAATTAATTTAAATTTAAATTAATAATTTACAAAAAAATGAAAAAAATTATTTTTTTAATTTTAAATATTAATACTTTTGGTGAGTTTAGATTTTATTATTACATGTAAGAATTGAAAAAAAAATGACATCTGAAAAATCAAATGGATTCAGACCTAAACTTATTTAAAATACTAAAATATCATATATAAACTCGACCCATGAATAGCTTTAGTATGGACCTTATTTTAATTATTCATTTTCTGCTCTGTCATAAACAAATCCAAATACAAAACAGATACATGATTCTATCAAAAAATGTGTCATTTGGTGATAAAATAATGGTTGGCTTTTGTATGCTTGAACCTTACATTGTTGCCAGAAGTACCTTTCCTTTCCATTTTCCTTTTTTTTTTTTTTATGTTCTTTCTTAATTTAATGGTATCTATTCATCAAGGGCAATTGATTTTATTAGTTGAGGATGATTTAATTAATCAACCGTGCCATGTGATATATCTGGACTGAATTGTTTTTGGCTTCAAAATTGGCAGCTAATGGTTGTATTCCTGTAGCAGCAACAAGCAAAACTTTGAACTGCAGCATCCTCCATTTTCACATGAACAATTAAGTACCATTTCTGTTTGGCAGGAAGAAAAAAGGAAAGAAAAAAATTTAATCTAATGATTGAGTTACATAAAAGCATATCTTATTTTACAGCACAATCATTAGATTAGAACTTTTTTTTTCCTTTTTATTTTCTTTCATACCAAACGGAGCATGTCGGTGAAAGAAAAAAAAGAAAGAAAAAGGTTATTATTTTTTGGTAAAAACAAATCATAACTTAAAAATTAAAAAAAAATTATTAATGTTAAAATTCAAACCTAAATTTATTAAATGTTACATTTTAAAAATCATTATGTGAATCGATTTGTCAAGCTTCAAATTTATGGAGTAATCTTTATAAAATTGTTTAACCATTGAATAAAGATATATATATATATATATATATATATATGAATATATGGTAGAATTATTCTACAACAATTATGAGCTGGTAATGTTGCCCTTTGAGCAGACAATAATATAACTTCATATAATTTGTTGGGAAAGAAAACAACAGGAAAGGAAAAAGGATCATGGGTGGCAATGGATTCTTCAAATGTAAAGTCAAATGCTAAGACCATGGTTTCATGGTATTCATTTGATGCCTATAATTGATAAATAATTGTAGTTGGTGGGATGATTTTTGGCTCATAGCTGTTTGCAAATGAAAAGTTTGTGGCTTTGGTTGGGGACTCGTTCAGAGGACTAGAACTATTTAAGAGTGGTCCAATGGGTTGACTTTATTAGAGATGGCGGTTTAATTTGTGTTTGATGCGTTTTGATTCAATATGATATTAAAAATTTTTATTTTTTAAATTGAGTTTTAAATCGTGTTGAATTGAATTTTAAGTAAATTTGTTTATGATCCGATATATATATAATTATTTTTAAATTATTTATTTAATTTTATATTTATATTAAAAAATAATATTTTATTAATTTCAAATTGAATATATAATTTTATATAATGTCATATCAAATTCAAATAAAAAAATTTTAAAAAATCATTAAATTAAGTTAAAAAAATAAAAATTCGCTTCGATCTGATCTATTATCATCCTTAGTTGACTTCGACTCTTAAGTGCTACAATCAAGACCTAGCAGACCTAAATGCCTTGAAGAACACAAGAGAAAGAGCAGTCTTCATCCACAAATGTCTCATTCCTTTGGGCAATTTTTACTGAAAATCTTACAATGTGGAGGGGACCTAAAATCATGTTGAGTGGTTTAAATCAACCCACTAAACAATTCTTAGAATTAGATATTAAAAAAATAAATAAAAACAAGGTAAGTTAATTGGTTAATTTCTACTTGTCCATTATGTTCTATTTCCATGCTTTTTCTAGTTGATGACAATCAAATCAAAGGTCAAACTTATGAATATTGTTCAAATTTTTATTTTTTTATAAAATATTTGTATTCAACATTTATTTGGATATGGAAATTTAACTCTAAAAAATATATATAAAATTTTAAAAAAATTTTAAAAATCATATATATATGTATATATTTAATATTCACTTTCAAATCTATTAGCATATATGAACAAAACTACTAATAACAATTGATCCTATCAATGAAGTAAAACATTATAAGGGAGTTGGTAGTTATGTGCATATGATAACTAGGTCTTAAACAGCTTGCTTCTAGATAGGTGTGTTCCAATAGGCTATTTTTCATGTGTATAAAATATGTTGCTACTCTTTTATTACTATTTTAATAAGAAAAAACCAAGAAACAAGTCAATTGTCTTAATTTGGCCCAAAATATATAAATGTTCCTATCCACATCCTGTTTTAATTTAATTCATAATTTTCCAATAGGGTGGTGGAGGGTGGCTTGCCTGCAAAACTAATCAGGCCTCAAATGCATTGTTTTCATACTAATCATATTTTAAAAAAATTTTTTTTGTTGTATATATACTTTGTCTGACTCAAAATTATTATTTTTATTGATTTTTTAAGTCAAATTAACTCAATTTTGATTTATATTTTTAAAAATTATGTTAAATTAAAATTAAATAAAATTTGTTTTTCAAATTTTAAAATTTTAATTATTTTAAATTTTATTAAAAATGATTATCAAAATTGAATTAATTTTTAAAAAATAATTCGCACAAACAATTATTTTGAGATAAAGAAACTATAATTTATAAATTATTTTATATTATCCAAATAAGCTATGATTGGTTTCAAATTTTTGTCATCGGATTATTTTATTAGCAACTGACAGCTCGTCAAAAGTTAACTTTTTCATAACTGGCGCTTAAATCATTGGTCCTTTTTTTTATTTTTTTATTTTAATTTCAAACTTATTTAATGTTAATTTTTAAAAAAATTTATGTGAAAATTTAATTTCAGCTAAATAGGTGATTTTTCAATATTTCTTTAAATCCTTAATCTCTTTAGTTCATATGACCTAAATTCAAAATTTTATTCGAATCCAACTGATAATTTAAAATTAAAGTAATTTGAATTTAAATTAATTTAAATTTGAAATGATTTGAAAATTTAATCAAAGATACATAAAATTAATTTAATTTAATTTTAAAATTTAACAATTTAAATTTATTTTGATTAAGATATAATGATTAAAATCTAAAAAGATTTAAATTTAAAAAAACTTAAATCTAAAATGTTCAGTAATTTTTTACTCAAAATGATATAAAACTGCCTCTTGTATTCTACTTTCGTCTCATATTTGTAGAGATGAGCAAATAGTTGATTGATGAATTCAATTTGAAAAAATTAATAATTTTTTATTTAATAAATAATTGAATTTATCAATAATTTTTAAATAATAGTCTATACTTAAATTGACTAAAATCAATGGCAGCAACATGCCCCTTTTTCTCTCTTTTTTTCTTTCTATCAAAGAATCATATGAACGATTAATTCCCGCATTATACACTTTTGATCGAAAGAGTTTTACCAATTCCAACAATTTTTCTTTTTGATTTGAAAATAGTTTGAATCGGAGCTTTTCGATTTCTATATCAAAAATAGACTTACGAAGTTGTTCCAACTTATTTATTTCCATTAATTAACCCTAGATCCTTGCCCCTGAAAAATGGATGTTTCTCTTCGAGCTCCATCCTGTACTATTTACATTACAACCCAACAAAAAGACGGATTCAATTCAATTAAATAATTAAATTTTTCATTAATTTTTTATCTTATTATAAATAATTATTTAATCAAAAATTTATTCTAATAAAATTTAAATTTAAGTATTATTTAAATTAAATTATTTAAAATTTAATAATTTTAATAATATTTTATAAAAAATATTTATCTCAAAATATTTATTTTTTATTTAAAAATCAATTAATCTAATCAATTCAATCATTAATTTTAAAAATTAAAAATGAATTAATTCACACGATTTCTTCCGTTCTAATCAATTCAAATAAAATTTTCTCACCCAACACGTTTGTAATTTGGGCCATTCATTCACAATTAAAGAGCCTAGGTCCCAACTTTATCAACATTTCCCAGCAATAAATGCAAAAAGCTATCACAGTAAAGTTAAATTATTGCGTGTCATTTCAAGATTTCATCTTACTGCTGCGCCAAGTTATGTCCTGTACATGAAATGGTGAGAAAAAGAGAGAGAGTTTTGGCAATAACAACACAAAACAAGGAAGCCCACCGCCGTCACTATTGTTAGAAAACCGCTACACTTTTTGTCTGAAAGTTCGCCGTCAGCTTCCCCTCCTCTCCATCGCCTTGTCTAGACGACTTTCTCTACTTTTGGCAAATAACGGTAACCATGAACCAACCAAGGTGCCTTTTTTTCAATACATTGGTGGGGCCTTTACTAGCCGCCCTCCTTTCCCTGTGCCCTTGGACCGCCTTTTTCTCTCCTTATCCACCTAACGCCGGGTTTCATGCTCGGTGAGATCGTCTTTAAGGTGGCTATTATTTTATATATTATCAAAATATATATTTGCAATAATTTTTTTTATCTAAAACATTTATTCATTAAAAAATATTTTTAATGTCACGAGATATTTTTAAATACTCTTGAAATTTTTTTATTAAGCATTAAATTTTTTTAAACTTTATAAAATATATATATTTTTGGATTGATTTAAGTAAATTTATATATACTTTTAAATTTAACAAATTCTTAAAAAAAATTACCTTTCTATAATTTATTATCAAATTCAAGCCCTATAAACTAAAGTATTTAATATGTGTGTATCTTTGTCTAGAAGTAAGAACTAACGTCGGGTATTTCCAACATCCACATATATATATATATATATATTGATAAATTAGTTTATCAAAAAGTGAAACTGACTAACCACTCCTAACTTCCAAAAATAATAAAAATGGGAAATTCGAAATATGAAACTATGAAATTTGGTACGACTTTGTTTATATTAAAGTACTCTGACGGACGGATAAAACTTATATTAAGTTTTATAGGTTGAGTATGTAAAATTTTTTATTAAAAATAAATAAATAAAAAATTTGAATTAATAAATTGATAGAGATTAATATAAAAATCAATAATATATAAAAAAATTATTAAAATATTTAATGATAAAAATTTTATAAATATTTTTACTAAAATATTTATTTTAAAAAAATATATCAAAATTTATTAGAATATTTTTAAATTTTATCTGTTTAATTTATATGATAAGATATTTTAATTTATCAATTTTAATTTTTGATTTTAATTTAATAAATAATTTCATAAACTTTATCTTAAGTTTTTCTCCTCTTATGAGTATGTGCCCATAATTTATTCTTTCCGTTGACAACAAGCTCCGAAAATTAAATCTCATGACCCAAAATTTTCAGACATGTAACCTAAAATTGAATCACTTTGACTTAATTTGGTTGGTATTTTATTTTTTTCTTGTTACTATTTATCTCTTATTATCAATATTTTTTTAATTTTTATTAAAAAATAAACAATAAAATTACCAATAAAACGAAATCTTACATGTTACAAAAATCATACATGTGTACAAGTTTAGTGGATCTCCAAGAATTTTGGGCATGACTTTTTAATTTTAAATTCGATCCAATTCGTAAAATATTTTATTATTGAATACTAATATAACATTTTAATATTAAAATTTACATGAACTTTTATTGGGCAAACTAGGCTAAATTTTTGACAAGTTATTAAAAGTGTCAATTGGGTCCAATCAAATTCATGGACACCTATAGTTGTACAAGGCCAAGCAACTTGATTTTTGTAAAATAAATTGAAGAGTGGAAGTGTGGCAAGTGATTGATTTCCAATAATCTATAATCTATCAATTAAAATATTGAATAGTAATATGGATTGAAGTAAGTGAAATATATTTTTTAAACTTTCTTAGGTATTAAATCAGTAAAAAAAAATATTGTGGGGGTTAAATGGTAATGATGTTATAACTTTTTAGTTAAATGGTAAAAAAATTATGGTGGACCAAGCATAGTTTAGCAAAGCTGTTACAATTGTTTTAGTGTTTGATATTATTGTGAACATTTTTTATAAAAAATAAAATATCTAAGGAAAATATTATATTGGAAAGAAAAAATAAATTATTTTATTAAAATAAATAATAAAGTAAATATTTAATTATTTTATCTTCAAATCATAAATTTTAAATCATAATTACATCTTTCAATTAATTTTTATAATTACCTCACTGTTAATTATCAAAATATGATTTTAATTCAAATTATAAATTGTTTAACATTAAATATAAAAAATAATTAACTCTCTTATAAAATACTCAAGCAAAAGATTTCAATTTAATTTAAAAAAAAAACTGAAAAAGAATTAAAAAAAAAAGCAATAAGATGGGCCAACTAGACTACACATATACATATAGAAAATTTTTTTTTTTTAGCTTTTACAAATTAAAAATTTATTCATTTAGTATAATAAATAAATTGAATTAAAATAAAGAGAGGAGAGAGAGAGAGAGAGAGGAAGTTGAAAGTGAAAGATAAGGACACAACAACACATCGCTGTCTGAATCTCTGCATGCCTCAAAATTCACTCACTTCGCTTTTATAATTCTCTCTTCCTTCCCATCCATCAATCTTCCTCTTCTCTCACTTCAGGGCTACGTAACCCGAACCCGAAGACGGAAAGAAAGCCCGACTCTTTTACTTTCATTGATTCCGCGCTGCATTTTCCGGTCACTTTCTCGGGAAAAAGTTTCAGAAGAGATGTACCCGGTTATTCGGTCGTTACCGTTGGATGGAAGCGTGGGAGATTACCAAGTGTCGCTTGATGGGACAAACTTGCCTGGTGATGCTTGTTTGGTCCTGACAACCGATCCGAAGCCTCGACTCCGATGGACAGCTGAGCTCCATGAACGTTTCGTCGATGCGGTTACTCAACTTGGTGGCCCTGACAGTGAGTTTTGTTTATGGGTTGTCTTTGCTTTTGCTTTGTACTGTCAACATGTGATTCCCCCTTTAAACTATTGAGTTTATTTTTAATGAAACTTTTGGATTTTGGGTTACATTTAGTTCTTGAAATGTGGGTTGCCTTTTTTCTTTAAAATTTCTCTTTTTCATGTTGCTTTGGTTTTGTGGTTTTTGTGATAAAATAGTGATGAGATTTGGGCATTGGGTTCTTTGGGATTGATAGTTTTATTTTGGTTTTTGGGTTGGTTGTTTTTGTGCTTTTGAGAGTTGGGCTTTTTTTTTCCTTTGCAAATGCGATTGGAAATATTGGGTTTTAATGTTAATGCTTTTTTTTTGTGGTCAATTTGTGTTATGGTGATTCTGGTTTTTATGTAGTCATGGATGAAAGTTCATAAATTTTATTTGATTTTTCAAACTCAGGGTGTTTTTGCCCTTTTTTAATTCTATTTTTGATTGTTGAACTAATTTGTTTGATGATTTTTGATATAGTTGTTTACTAGGATGAATTGAAGTGATTTAAAGAGTGTTGTTTGCCTTCTTTTGATGAAGAAGATATGTTGTTATCATGTTCTTCATATCAGCTTTGACTTAATTACCAGCCACAATTGTTTTTCATTGTACTCATTGCTATGATTTAGAATCATGTTCTCTATTGTTTCCATAAACGTCATTTGAAAGTGCATCATGACGTCTAGGAACTTTACCTCGTTGCTATTGGCTCTTTAGCCGTGGAAGATATCTGCCAATCCTATATTTTGGACCTCTTCTTTAAGATTTTACTGGAAGGAACTTTCTTCTGATACATTTGTACACAACATATATTTGCATAAACAAGTAGACATTGACCAGCTTATTCATTGAACTTAATTTTGTTTTCTCTTTGTTCATCTAGTTATACTTTCTGGTAATATTCAAATTTTGTGTGCCCACTATATGTTTCTGGGGTACTTCTCTAGTGATAAAATACACCCAAAAGGACAAAACCTTGATTTGGAGCCATTAAGTTCAATAATTTTGGTCAGCATACTTTTTGTTGGAAGACAAACTACAGTAATTGTGGTACTTTGTCTTGGTCTGGGAAGAATATTCTTAGTATTAGTATTTTCTTCCTGCAAAAATTATGCCAAAGGATTAAGTTTTGAAATCAGAGCCAAATCACCGGGTTTGTGCAGAAAGTCTTGTTGTTTGGACACTGCTTGTAAGAAACAATTGTACAAACATCTTACCATAGTATTCTTTCCTTTTGAATGCAATGCTTAATTATACCTGAGCTTGCAATTGTAATAGTGATGATTGTGGAGAATTGAAATCATATTGATGGTGTGAGGTCAAAAAATGCAAGAAAAAAGAACGAAAAATAATTGCTTTTGTTAGTGATTTTGAGACAAGATGGCAGCATATTTGTCTCAATGCAGTAAAATAGAATCATATAAATAACAATGTAAGACAATTATGAGTGATTTTGTGATAGCCAATTGGCAACCACCTATACTTTCCACCTAAATCCTTGGGCCACTAATGTCTGTCTGTTAAACTTTCTTTCTGGCATCATTTTGTTTGATTGAGGCTTATTACTGCTGAAGCAAAAGGTTATCAGGCTTGGTATGTTCTGGGTAGGAAGTTGGGACATTATTTCCTGGTCCAAGCTTGGTTCATATTCAACCGAGGATGTAGATGATTTGTACCCCAACTTCTCTAATTATAATTGTGCCATGGTTTAATATAACCCCTTAGCAAGGCTGATCATGCATGTTTCTCTATTTGAATCTCAGAGTGATTTTATGTGAAGCAAACCTAGCTGATTGACAACAACATTATAAGAATCAAAGTTTATGTACCCTTCTGTTATGTCTTATATGCTCTTGCATTTTGTTATTCTAAAGTTATAGATCTTGATGTGGCTTACTTTCTATGTCTGAATGTGCATTGCAGAAGCAACCCCTAAGACTATTATGAGAACAATGGGAGTAAAAGGCCTTACCCTCTATCACTTGAAATCACATCTTCAGGTTTGTTGTTACTGCCATCTCTTTAATGATCATGATTTCAAATTGTTCACTACTTTATATTGGTGCTTTCATGTCTTCAGCCCCTCTCTTTTCTTTGTCAGAGATGGATCTTGATTTGCATCATGATTTACCATAATTAGTAAGCTTAATGTCTGATTTTCTTTGCACCCATTAATGTCACATGTGTTTGTGTTGAGAGGAGGGGACTTTACCTGCTAATCTATTTGAAATTCTAATATTTTGTATTTTTTATTTTCTTTACTCGATGCCCTTTATTTGCAGAAATACCGGCTGGGGAAGCAATCTTGCAAGGAATCAACTGATAACTCTAAGGATGGTATGCTTCTTGATCTCTTTAAATTACAATTACTTTGGAGTTTGTGCATTCAATAATGAATACAGTAACTTCTTCCTTCTACCTTTTTTAGTCCTGTATCTTTGATTTACTTATGAGTCATGATCAAGTGTTATGACTATTTGAATGTTTCAACTCTGCCAAGAATACCATTAAGAAAAGTTTCTATCATACTCACCCAGATTATTACATTAGAAGCAACTACACTCAGGAAGGCAGATGGCATTGGGGTTTGATAAAATGACCAATTTTTTGCTTTTAAAATGACTTTTATATGAATTTTAGTTTTTGGTCGGTCTTGGTATTTGACTGGATGTTTTTAGACATTAGCTCTTGGGATTTTGATAAAATTACCAAATTTTATTTTTAAAATTATTTTTATATGAATTTCACATCTGGGCAGTCTTGGCATTTAATCTCTTCTCAATTGTTCTGCTTTCTGCCATGTGTATGATTTATATGTGGTTCTTGGTGGAGATCCTGGGAATTATCTCTTGTCAAGTGATAGATGCCAGATAATAGGCTATCCATATTCTTAATTGACTGATAATTAGTTGTGTCATGGGTGTTTCAGCTTCTTGTGTTGCGGAAAGTCAGGACACTGGTTCATCTCCAACATCATCATCGAGAATGGTGGCACAAGACTTGACTGAGTATGTTATTTCTTATCTCATTTGACAATCTCCTTAGTTTTCTTGGGCTTTGAATGAATGCTGAATTTCATCTTCCAAACAGTGGTTACCAGGTTACTGAAGCTCTTAGAGTGCAGATGGAAGTGCAACGAAGACTACATGAACAGTTGGAGGTTGGTTATAGTGGCCTGGACTTTTGGTTAGCATTGGCTCTGTTCAGTATTTGTACGGTTAATTATTGACTTGCATATGCTAGCCAATAAAGTGAAAATTTTCAAAAGCCCCTTGCTGATGTTGAAAATTTCAATGACCTCATAGGGGTGTTATTTTCCTTAGTATATGGTTACACTTTGTTGTGCAAGAAATTTTCGTGTGTGATTTCTCCACATGCTAATGGTTTCACTTAGCAGGTACAGCGTCGTCTTCAAATTCGGATTGAAGCACAAGGCAAATACCTACAGTTAATACTCGATAAAGCCTGTAGAGCTCTCAATCATCAAACTGCTGCTTCAGCTGGTCTTGAAGCTGCCAGAGAAGAGCTTTCTGAACTTGCAATCAAGGTTTCGAATGATTGTCAAGGGATGGTCCCTCTTGATGACATTAAATTACCTTCTTTGTCTGAACTTGCGGCAGCTCTAGAGAACAAAACTACTTCCATTATGCCAGCCCGAATTGGTGATCGCTCTGTCGAAAGCTGCTTGACTTCTACTGGAAGCCCTGTTTCTCCAATGGCTGTTGGTTCACCTTCTGCTATTATGAAAAAGAGGCCGAGGCCCTTGTTCGGCAATGGAGTCCCTTTGCCCTTGGATGGCAACATAAGGCAAGAAATAGAGTGGGTTATGCCTAATATTAGTTGATTAGCGGGACATTTCCATCTTAGAAATGGTACCTTCACTCTTTTTAGTATTTTTAACTTTTGTTTTACTCTGTCTAGTTAATCTAAATGTCCTTTTTTGTTTTATCAACTCTATCATCAATGATCGGTATATTCTGAAAGCAGATTTCTTTTGAATATGGGGTTACCTCTAAAACTTGAGATTGCCTTCCTTTGCACAGTGATATGAGACGGGATTACAGTTGTTCACCATTAAAGTTAACATAGACTGCATGATTAAGAGATTCGAGATAAGAATATATTTGGGGTTTGCATATAATCTATCCCAAGGACAACCAAAAGATCGACTCCATTGGAGTGCTTCTGATTTCTTTCTACTTGATTAAACGATCGTTTCAATGAGAATTGGACTATATTTCCAAATCCAACTAAGTTTACCATTTTAAATAATGACATTTGTTGTCCATGGGTACGATGGTTGTAATATCTCATTCTCACATTAGGTGCTATATATCAGATGCATATATACTATGTTTCGAGCTCGAGCTTGGCCTATGAATTTTTACTCCTCGACATGATTTTTAAGGCTAGGGTGTAAGATTTCAAGGTGTTAATCAGGTCTGGTTCGACCCATGAACTCTTCTAAATCCCTAATCAATCTCTCCACCTTTCTAACCATAAACCTCCCATGTGAGCAAAACAATACGACCTGCAAGTGCGTAAACGATGAAACAAACATCTTATTAAGCACGGGAATAGGAGGCTTGGGTTCACAAACAGAGAAACCATGAAACTAAGTGCAAGCTTATCCACTATACAGAAAAAAAAAACAGTTGTAATAATGATGCTGACATGGCATATTTTTATTGGTTGCAATGAGAGATAACGGTCCAAAGTGAAGCATAACTTGCGCTTTTCTCTTTAATTTGTACCGTTATGATATTTGAAACGAAAGAATAAAGATGCACTCATTATCAAAGGCCGTTATTATGGTATCTCCACTTTGGGAACTCAGCTCATTTTTGCTTAATCTCTTTACCTCTTCTCTTCCTTCACCTTCTGTGTCTTTTTTTTTTCAGCTTTGTGGGACTAACTGCAGCTTTCTCTTCATCATTCCCTGTTGACTTCAAACTGTTCTTTTATTATCTCTTTCTTCTCTTACAAGAACTAGCAGTTCCATCATCATCTCTAACACCATCAAGTTAAGCTTCAATGGGTATGTCTTTGTTTTCTTTCTTCTTCCCTCCCTTTATTTGTTTGATTTATATATACTTTTACCTGGTATTATCATATAGTTAAATGTTACTGAAGTTCTGGATTATAAGCTTTCTTTCTTTTATTCCTGTTTATGTATACTTAAGGCTAATGGATTGAGTTATTCTCCAGCTCTTTCTATTCTTTTTCACATCAGATTTATTTACTTATGTTTGTAGCCTTTATTGTTTTTGTCAGATTGTTAATTGCTGATTATGGTTAACTTTCATAGCAACTTAGCATCTCTGTTACCCAGCCAAAGGCCATCTGGAAATCTCTCAAAAGTTGCCAATAATCAATCTCAAAAGCCTTAAATCCATTTCAATCCATCAATAGCTTACCAAAGGAGGCCTGACTATTTTCATCCAGGACAACAAGTAAGAAAAAGGAAACGAGAAAGCCTGAGAGCTTGCTATGCGAGGGAGAATAAACAAAATGAGGACACTGTAGATAGGTAGAGCGGTGACGGATTTCTAAGAGAGATGAGAGACTAGAAGAAATGGGGATTGTTGCATCCTATAGCCATGACTTCTACAGAATGAATCTTGGGATTTTCAATTTTTTTCTTTTCCATTGGACTAATAGGCATGAGTCTAAAGAATGTTGGTTTCGGAACGGGGCAAAGTGTAATTATGTGTAGGTTTCTAAGTGGTTTTGTATTTACCTCTCCATTAGAACTGCTGAGTGCTGATGACATATGCAGCTAGCATCAGTCCCAGGATCTCTTCACCAACAGGTTTGCTCTAGTAATCATAAGTGGGATTGGAGAGGGACTCAATATATGAAACTAAACAGAAACGACCTTTTTCTTATAAGAATCTGTAAAAATGAGCTTCAGGAATAATGACAGAGTCTTTAAATGTATCTGTCAAGGTACATTAAGGAAAAGGAGAGAAAATGTCGATTTCTTATCAAATTATACTGCTGAGATGAAAATAGATGGTTTGGAGAATTTCTCATCCTTTTCGGTTTTTTACTTTTAATGAGAGAAATATTCTTAGATATATTATGCTCACTAAACTAGCATCATCATTTAAAATTTATCAGTTCCATCCCAACATTGAGCATGTTATTTCACATCTAATTTGCATATCTTATCTTAAGGCAAATATCGTCCTTGCCCTTCTCCGAAGTCATTGTCCAGCAGAATAGGAGGCATGCTTTGCAATTGTGGTCCATCAAACAACTACAAGAAGCTGGATTCAAAGCTTGAAAGGAAAATGATTGAAATAAAGAGAAGTGCATCAGGACAATGTAATTTCAAATCAATTGACAGAATAATCTTGAGGTTCCCTCAGTTCAGGGACGGATTGAGAAATCTCAGAAGCGTGTTTGAGCAGTATGGTGGGTTGCAACAAGTTTACTCTTCACCTCTCTAAGGTTTTTTCTTGGAGTTTTACCACAAATTGACTCTCTCTCTTTCTCTCTTTCTCTCTAGATGAAGACTCTGATGGAACTATTGATCGTGAGGAACTGAACAAATGCTTGGAGAAACTGCAACTTCGCTTGACAAAAGAGGAGGTTGAGGATTTGTTTCGTTCCTGTGACATTGACAGGAGTGAAGGGATACAATTTAATGAGTTTATTGTTCTCCTATGTCTCATCTATCTCCTAATGAAGCCTTCCTCCTCTCCTGATAATTTGTCCACAGTAAACATATTTTTGTTTCTCTTCCTTGTTTAAGAACGTAGCCTGTTATGTTAGAAGGTATTAATCAGTGTCTTTAATGGTGAATTGTGAATGTTTCAGACATTGAAGATGGATTCACCACAGCTTGAGGCCACTTTTGGTACTATTGTTGAAGCATTCTTGTTTCTTGATAAGAATGGTGATGGAAAACTGAACAAGAAAGACATGATGAAGGCACTAAATGAGGCTTCTCCTTGGGAACGATCCTCTGCACGTGTCAGCAGGACTAGATTCAGTATCACATCCTCTCTCACTATACTTTTAAGTTCTCAGTATTGTCTATAATTAATTATATTAATCATTCTTTTGGTAATTCCTATGGGAAAATGCAGAAGAAATGGATTGGGATAAGAATGGGAAGGTCAGCTTCAGAGAGTTCCTCTTTGCTTTTATCGACTGGGTTGGGATTGAAAGCGATGGAGAAACACCTGACACGGGAAGCTAACAGCACTCGACAATAATCTGGAATGAGGTCAGATTAAAGATTTTCTCATATAGCTATGAAATCCGAAGTATTAGTCAAACTGTTGTCGCTGTATCCTGCCGTATATCATAACAGTTTTCTTTCAAATGATACAAACTCGAGATGCCCTATTAAAGCAATAAATTAATACTGATTGTTTTTTGGTTCCGTCTCTCTAATCTATTTCCTGATCCAGCTGAATTGTATTGTGATTACCATGTATGAGACGTTCATGGCAGTGGATATGGCAAGAAACTATAAGTCACCAGTGCTATACCGTACAACATTTTCATCTCATTTGTCAAGATAGACACATCCAAAAACACTCCTCACTCTTGTTTTACATACTACCTTCAGTATTATACATTAATTGAAAGGAAAATTGTCATTGAAAACATAACTGCTATCAACTTGCCTCTCTTTTATGTTACTCAGTGAGTTTCAATGTATTCCCAGAGCATGGATTCTCCTAACCAATGACAAAGAAGAAGCATTTCTCTGTTTCCATTCTTTCCTACCCTCCTTCCTTTGCCGTTGTTCCATGAAGCTTTTGTCATTCCCATCAAGTATGCTCACAATCTGCCTCATGGTAGGCCTTAATTCCGGGTCAGACCGTGTGCAGGCAATTCCTAGTTTTGTCAGTCTCAACAGTTCTTCATTATTGTATTCCCCATTCAACCTAATATCAACCAGTTCCTCGAATGACCTTCTCCGTGTCTCAAAGTTGTGGACCCATTTCACCAATAATACCTCAGGCCGCCTAAAGTCAGCTGCCATATGTCCACTAACCACCTCAAGCACCACCACTCCAAAGCTATAAACATCTGCCATCGGGGTTGCTTCTCCAGATTCCATATATTCTGGTGACATGTAACCAAAAATTCCACGAACTGATTTGTTCTTGTTGGTAGCTGCATGATGGTCGTGATCATTTCTTGCCAAGAATTCAGCAAGAGCAAAACTACTAAGCCGTGGGTTCATCTCAGGATCGAGAATGATGGCTGAAGAGGTAATGTTCCTATGGATAACTTGTTCATCCCATTCCTCATGAAGATAAAGAATGGCAGAAGCAAGGGATTTGATAATGCTGTATCTGTGTTGCCATCGCAAAATACTGCTGCCAATTCTGTTATTGTGATGGAAAAGGAGGTGACTCAACAATTGATTTGCTGAATAATCATATACAACAAGCATCTCTCCTTGTTCAGTGCACCATCCACGGAGTTGTACCAGATTACGATGGCGGAGCCTTGCTAAGTTTTGGAGTTCACTTGAAAATCGTGTTCGCAATGCAGGGCATTTAGTCATGCCAAGTCTCTTCACAAGAACGTGATGACGGTTGTCAAGGAAACCTTGGTAGGCTGTTCCAAAGTCGACCTCTGCTACCCTTCGTGATTCTGCGAAATTGTTAGTAGCAGAAATGATTTCCTTGAAGGGTATTTCTCTTGGAGTTTCAACCATAAAGAAATTTGTTGGTCGGCGACTGCTGTTGTTAGATAAGCTGAAACCATTGATTCCAAATTCAGCGGTTGCATATAAAGTTTCTTCAGTGGCAGTGACATAGTTTGATGAAGCAAATGTGACTGTTGTGTTGGTGCTGCTGGTGCTGGTGGGGGACCTGCTACTGCTGTTGTTCTTGCTTTCACTGGTGTTGGATGGGGATGACAATGAGATGTATAAAGGGTGTGACTCAAATGAAGGCAAAGCTGGCAGTTTGCCAGAAATGTTTCCAGAAAGCACTTCCACAACCCATTTCATATTAGGCCTCAATAGCGGATTATGGAGGGTGCAGAGGAGTCCTATGTGAAGGAACCGCTCCATATCAGCAAGCCTGCAAGATCCGTCTGTAAGTCGAGCATCCCCTGCATGTAAAAGCCTTCTTCCATCAGACAGCCTACGGATCCAGTCAAGCAAAATGATTTGCTCATCTGGAAATGTAAGGTCCACAGCACGCCTTCCAGAAACCACCTCTAACACAACAATCCCAAAACTGAAGACATCAGATTTTGCAGTTGCCACACTTCGTTTCTGGAAGCTCTCTGGTGGGAGATACCCAATTGTGCCACCAATCCTTGTTGTGTCAGCCAACCGAAACTGGTGTCTTTTTGTTGCTGGTGTCTTGATTTGGTACTCGAGTTCATGTTCAAGCCACCGTGCCAAGCCAAAGTCACCTAGCCGTGCATTATAGTTCGAGTCAAGCATCACGTTGCTTGTTTTTACATCCCGGTGTATGATTTGAGTTTCCAATTGTTCATGGAGATAAAACAATGCAGCTGCCAGGCCTCCGACAATTTTCCTCCTGCGCTCCCAGTTCAACGGAGCTGCGCCCATGTTCGATTGGGCATGTAGTCGTAAACCAGGAGCAACTGGTCTTCATGTACACACCAACCCCTTAACCGAACAAGATTTCTATGGCGTAGATGAGCCACAGCCACCAATTCAGCCGCAAAGGTCTTCTCAAATCTCTCCCCTTTCTCTGCCAAACATTTCACAGCAACCACTGTTCCGTCACTAGGCAAAACTGCTTTGTACACTTTCCCAAAACCCCCACTTCCAAGAATTTCATCTTCACTAAAGCCATTAGAACCTATATAAAGCTCAGCATAACTAAAAATCCTTGGATTCTCTGCACCAACCTTCTCCGACATCTGAACACCTTCCAGGTCATGAAACACACTTGGTTGCTGTTTCCTTGGCACATCATGGTGACAAAAATGAACCCATCTCGAGTAGTAGAACCGGCGCAAGGCATTACCAATGAAAGCAAGAAACTGACTTCCACAGTCACGGTATGGATGTTTCTTGACCTCCTTTTTGGCAGGTTTATCAACTTTGGGATACTCCAAGGGGGCGATTTCATCGAAATCAGCTGGTGAAATGAAGCAAAGCCGGTTTAGCTGCATGTTGATGGTTCTAGATGAACACATGAATGAAAAGGTGGTGAGGGAAAAAAAATGAATGGAATCAAACTTTGGGTTATGTAGTGTATGATTTGTCCTTGTGAATGGCTTTTTGGTTTGTGCTTTTATTCAACATTGGTAGGTTTGCATGGTTGAATTGTTTTGCTATAAACTTTCTCAAATAGGAAGCTGCCGCCCCTTTTGTGATGTTACACCACCCCCCCCCCCCCAAAAAAAAAAAAAAAAAAAAGGAAGATCCTCTTTCATGATTTTACAATTCAGCACAATAATCTATAGTTTATGGAACAAGGACAACAATCAACACGTAAAATTCTTAAGGATGATTTCACGCGGGAATAATAGAAACATTAGACCTCATGATTTTTATATTTATATTGTGTAAAATATAAATTTATCTATCCATATAATTTTTTATAAAAAATTATATTACAATTTACATCAATATAAATATATAAAATATATTTTGTTATTTTATTAAATTTATATATAAATATTATTAAAAATTTAAATTATATTATTTTTATTTTTTATTTATTTTATATAAATATTATATTATTATATCGTATTTTAAATTATCAAATTTAAAATACATAAATAAAAATTAATGTGTTTTAAGTTTTAAATTTTTTAATTATTAAAACGGTTAAAGTTGTTGCGAAAATCTACTGATTGGACCTAATTTGGTTAAAAAAATCAATAATTTAAACATTTCAATCTAAATTAAAAAACTTTTTTTGTAAAAAAAATTTAAAAATAAATATGTTTTTCAATTTTCAAAGTTAAAGTAAAATGTATTATTTATTGGTTGTTAAATTATTTATTGGTTAAATTTAAAACATTTTGAATATAAAATAATTGACACTCAAATAATTCAAAGTTTTAATTATAAAATTATTTGAATCTAAATCACTTTCAGTCTCAAATTCGAAACGATTTCAAGTTTATAGGACTCAATTCAAAAAAAATCAAAATTACCTTTATGATGTAAACCAAAGCTGTCCTATCCTATCTGATTACCAGCTCTTGTACTTACCATAAAAAAATACCCCGCCCAATGCTACTGCTAAGCATCACAGTTCATGTGAGAAGCATTGAATGTGGAAGTACTTGTTTGGGTGGGGGAATTGAATTATTGTTCACTTGACTGATGCAGAATTATTTCATTGGTTTTTTTTTTTTTTTGGATCATTTCACCAAAAAACACAATGTTGGGACTTGGAACCATGATTTTGAATTTTTATGTGATAGAAAATTTTAAAATTTTTTGTGAAATTATAAAATAAAAAAATTATGATTATAATTAAATACTATAATCATGTAAAAAATAATTTAATTAAATTAGACAATAAATAAACGGATAAAAATATATAACTAAATAAATTTCACATAAAATTGAATCAAATCATATACGATGAGATATAAATTTAAGATTTGAAAATTTTTGAACTTTCATTACCATTATACCTAAGGCAAATTTTTTACATTCTTTCTTTAATTATGGATCGATGAACTGTTTCTTAAAAATGGCAATTAGATTCATTGAAAAACAAAAAGAAATTCTAAAATTTAATATTTCTATCTCAAAATTCTAGATGAAAATATGAAAATATTTGTTTATATAACAAAACTTTTAGTCTTAATATAATTGGTAACAATAAAAAAAAAAAAAAGAAAAGCCCTTCATATAGTTTAAAACATTTTTTTATATGGTTTGATATATCTAAAAATTTCGATTTTTAAAAACTATATCCAATTATCATCAACTGGTCTTAAATAATGGAAAATAAATTATATTGAAACTGTTTTGCTCCAAAATTGATCATACTGTCAAAAAAAATTTTTTTTTGGCCTGAACCTTTCAATGTTTGACTAATTATTTTAAATCTTGACTAATTTAAAATCGAACCAAATTAAATTTTATAAAAAATAAATTATTTTAATATTTATTTTTTATTTATAAAAATTAAAATCAAAATTTTACTTAAAGAATTAAAATTTTTAACCACTCGAGCCAACAAAATATAGGTGATCACGCTGTCATTTGAGTTGTGTAAATTAGGCAATTAATTCATCCATCTGGGCTGGGAACTTGAGCTGGATGAAATTGACATCTTCTCATGTACACCACAATTCCAAATGCTTCCCAATTTAGTAGAAAGGACAGTGAACATGTTGCTGAGAACAAATTTCGATTAAAGTGCACCATAGCTAGAACTGAAGTCAGCAAAGTCATGAAGGGTCCAAATGATTAACGAAATTGGGAAGGGGGGACCAAGCTTTAATTAAGAGGGACCGGCTAGAAACTACAACATGGTCAAAAAAAATTTTGGGATCATAACCCGTACTTGCCCCTAGATTTATCCGTGACCACAGCCAACAGACGCACTCAAATTTTTAAATTAATTAATAAAAATTTAAATATTTTCGAACATGTTTTTATTTTTTTAGAAAAGATAAAAGTTTAAGGGTATAAATTTTTTTTAATTATAATTAAAAAATTATTTACATCTCTATTTTTTTTTGTAATTAATTAATTTATCAAAATTTTATTTATATCCAATTAAATTCTTATTTGGATAAAAAAATTAACACTTTCTCAATTTAGATCAAATTTCATATTATATCAATAAAATAAATGAAATTTAATCACTGATATATTTAATATATTGTGATAATTAAATAAAATAAAATTTTTTTCTTTTTCTTCTCCATTTTCTTTCTCTTTTCTATCTAAAATCCTTCTAAGAGTTTAATTTATTATAGTTTGTGGATTAATTGATTCAATTTTATCATGTGATTAAATTTTATCCAATTAAAAATTCGATTGAATCGAATTAAAAAATTAAAGATTTAATTGATTACAATAAAATGTTAAGGGTTTAAATAATTTTTTTATAGAAATTAAGGGCTTATTTTTTACCTTTAAGCAAAGATAAAAGATGATCTTATTTTTAGGCACATTTGTTTTTGTTTACATATATTTGATATTTTATTAAAGATTAAATTTTGTTCATCAAATTTGGTATATTCCCCTAACACATTATACATTTTTTTTTTTTTGTTTTTTCAAGGCATATTAGTTATATTTACTTATGCATACATAAATTTTATCAATTTACTCATTCATAATTGACATTTGCATAAAAAAATAAAAATATACATGAAGATAAGATCATCCAAAAATAAACTAAAAGACAGTAAAAAAACCACAAAAGACAAGGCATGTGAAAAAGAAACAAAGGTATGCTTGAAATCATGTGAGAGCATAAACAAAGGCGCGATTAAGAGCAATCAAGTGTAGAAATTCGTCACCAAAAAGTCATTTAATTACAGATGAGTGATGGGAAACATTGGGACTTGTATTGCAAAATGACAAACAATTTAATGTCTAATAAATTTGAGGATAAAGAGGGGTAGTTTTAAGTTGGGTGATGTGGGTTGCCCACTTTTGAGTTTGTTTTATTTGCAAAAATAGCCTTTTGCTGGGAGCAGTATATCAAATTTAAATGTTTGTGGGGTATTCCAAACTGTTGTGATTTTTGACTTTTGGCCACGGTTTTGGCATGGTCCCCACAAAAAATTTAATTGCAATTAATGTGATTTAAATTCTTTTTGTTTATCCTATCTCAAAAATATAATAATTTTTACATTCCACAAAAAAAAAAAAGTAGGATTAATTTTTAAGATTAAAATCAAATTTATCATTATATTACGAGTTAATGTTAAATTTTGTTATTATATTTTAATTTTTATTGATTTTTAGATAAAAGTAATTGAGAAATTTTGCACATACATCAACAGAATATTTCATTTCTGTTTTTTTTTTTTTTTTTTGTTAAAAAACAACAAAAAAAAATGATAGGTAAAAAATTTAGTACATTTATTATAAAAATTTTAAATATATTTCAACTAATTAAAAAAAATCACATTAGAATCACATTCAAACATTGTGATATGATACCCAATAGGCTTAAGCCTTCCTTGTAAAAAAAATGTACTTGAATATGTGGATAATGTGTGTATGATTAATAGTTCTACAATTAGATTTATATTGGTAAATTTTTTTTTTAAATACATTGGAATTAAATATTAAAAAATTGTGTAAGATTAGATAAAATAAAACCTTAGTTTGGATAAAGAAAGAAAAAAGATAAAATATAGTGATAAAAGGTTGACTTCTTGGCAACTGCAATACCATTTAAAAAATGGAAACGGTGGATAAAGGTAACTTTTAAGATTATTATAATTTAGAAGTAATCAAAAATTAATTCAATTGATTTATTTAATTATTTTTAAAAAATAATAATTAATATTTTAAAATTTAAATTTTAGTACCTTTAACTGTTTTTTTCAACCTATGGTTTTCTTAAAATATTATTTATAGATATATAGAGTTTGAAGGCATGACTTTTTTATATAATATATATATATATATATATATATGAGATGGGACCAATTTATATAGTATAAACTTAAACAAGTTTTACATATCTTTTTAATTATTAATTTCAATAAATTTAAAAGATAAGAGAGATAAATAAAAATTAAAAAAATAATAATTTAATCTCATTTATTAGATATATTGAAATTAATAAATATATGAAAAGAGATCAGCTAAAAAAGTATCTCATCTTTTGGATGTATTGAATTCAAATATTAGAAAAATATATAATTTTTTTTAATTTTATGCTGTATAAATTAATTTCTTCTAATATATATTATGTCTAATTATTTTTTAATTTTGAAAATTACTTATCAAGAAATTTAAATTTAAAGTACTATTGAAATTAATGTCAATTTATAAAAAAAAAATCAAATAATTAGAGATTGCAATTGAGTGAATGCTTCTTTTTTCTTCTTTGTTTGACTTGATATCATTTAATTATTTCTAATAGTCGTAATAATAAGCAATTAATCTCAGCATCTGTACTAAAATACTTCATTAGTTTGAAACTTGAATTTTTAGCTTAAAATCCCACAAAACTTTAAGCTTTTAGAAATTCAATAAGAAAGACTTCAAATTCAAGGTTCTAGGCTTTACCATTTACCAACAAAATCATTTGTTGGTTATACAAAAATATCTGCAATTAAATCTCACTTGCACCAAAGATTAGGGAGTTA